GAATTTTATCAATAAAATCCTTCAATTTACAATTATTTATGATAAAGGAAAATATATAGTTAGACAAAGAATCTTTCCATCAGTTTTTTAGCAAATTTATTCAGTGCTAACTTAGCATCTTCCTTAGTTTTTATTTTGTTGTTTTTTATTAGTTTAGCAAATATTGATAGTTTGATATCCCTTAATATTAGACTGAAATCAACTTCAGGAAATTCATCATTTATAATAGGAGGAATTGTTTCTGTGAAATCAGTACTTAAACCTTCTGTATGACCTCTGGTTGGATGATGTCATATAGTTATTGGTCCTTGAAGTATACAGCATTAGATTTGTCAAAATATGAAAAGCATTTGAGTGTTGCCAAGTGAAAACCCAAAATTCTAATATAAATTTATTCACTTGAATAAATTCATTTCTAACTTATCTATGCAAGTAGAAGTATATCCACACGTGGAATGAAATATATAAAGACTGTAATTACAATTAGAAACTATTGTATTTTCATATACAACATATATATGATTATTTTGAAAACAATAAGTTCTATTTTCTAAAATTATATTTCTTGCAAATAATTATCTAAGTCAAAGAAGTCTTTTGTTGTTTCTAATAGCATGTTTAAAAAACATTTTGTAAATAGTTGGCTCTTTATATTGATATGCATTACAATGCTTTAACTTTACAAACTAAAATATTTGTATTGAATTCATTGTAGATTGGTGAATTCAACTTGGTGAAAATCATTTTTTTTTCTATTCATACTTTACAATTCATGTTTATGCACTTTAAGTTCGATATAAATAAACAATAATAAATTAATATTTTAATAACTTAAACCTTTGAAAATCTTATTAATAAAGTATTCGAGATTGGATTTATACCATAACGATTATATTAATTATCATTATAAATTTTTATATTTCCAAAATTGTTTTAGGGAAGTTGATTTTTATACTATGTAAAAATTATATTGTAAAAAAGTTTTGCTTTAAAAAAATAATAATAAAACAAAGTTTTATATAAAAAAGCAAAAGAGACATGAACATATCTGATGCCATAAGTGCAACTAAAAACATGAATAATGTTCAACCTTGATTCTTTACCTCGATTTTAACATTGATTTAACGTTATCTAGCTTAAAATCGAAAGTATATGTTTTTTTCATAATTAGTTGTTATATAATTAGAAACTCATTCTAACAAGAAATTTTAAATTTTAGAAAAGACCTTTTGATTTTAATCTCTTTAACATTGGATTAACGTTAATTCAACCTTGATCTCTTTAACATTGACTTAACATTAACCTTAATCTTGATTTTTAACCTTGATTTCAACATTGACTTAACGTTAACAATGTTAGTTTAATCTTCAACATTAACTTAACATTAGCTCAACCTTAATCTTAACTTACTAAATTAGCATCATAATTGTCAAAGTAAGAAATTTTCTGATCCTGTTAATAAAATAGTATCATATAATGTAAAGAGTCAAATAAAGAGCTATGTATGTTCAGCAGGTAGGGTTCTAATTATACCGGTATAATAGAAAATAGTACTAACACCAAATAGTTTAATAGTTTATATATAAAAGTTAGAGTTAGAGACTGGGTAGCATATACTAATACTATATATATTGGCAAAAACTAAAAATTCTCAAAATCACACCCAAATCCCAAATCGAAATATGGTAAAATTGTCCCAAATCCCAAATATAATAAAATTCAAATCTCAGTATACTGTTAATAAAGATTCACTCAAGAAAATATGCGGTTTTAAATATCTTTCTCTTCAAGTAGCTTAATACCGTTGCCTTTGGAGATCATTTATTTGAAGACTTGGGATTTCTCAAGAATTTAAACGCGAAAAAATTAACAACACTGATAGAGTTATCGGTGTAAAAAGCAAATTTTCTTTTTTTCGTGCTCATAAAAATTTTGCACAGTTTTATTAGAGGAGAATAATATTTTTTGCTAATGTAATTTGAAATAAAATTAATCTTAAGAACCAGTGTATCCGCAGTATTGCACTAGAAATGAA